TGGTTGAGTTGTTTATCTCTTCATTTGATGTTTTAGGGTTTCAGGATTGTTGTATTCTCTGTTCGGCTTAGTTTTTCAGATCTTTGCTGTGGAGGGACGGCGTGGTGCTTCTGCCTAGAGCGCCATTTTGCCGGAACTCCCTGACTGTTCTTTCTTTGTCTTGTTTTTGTTCCCTTGGTTGTTTTCCTTATTAAGGTTTCATTTTTAAAAAATAATTTATCTTATTTTTGTTTTTGAAAATATACACAGCAAAACATATGCCAATTCAGTAATTTCTGCATGTACATCTCAGTGATGCTGGTTACGTCCCTGCAGCCATTCTCACTCTCGTTTTCCAGATTGTCCCTCTGCCATTAGTACAAACTCACTGCCCCCTAAGCATCCCACCTCTTAAGTTTTCATTTGACTCTCTTCTCTCTTGGGCAGCTTATAATTCAGCCTTTATTTCTGAAGTGATTTTATTTTTCCTTCTATTTCTTTTCTATGTTTAATTAACTTTTTTGTTTTTAATTTTTAAATTTTTTATTCAGGGTGATTTTTCGCATTCCGAAATGCTTGTTTGAGGATATTTAGTTCAGTTTGGAGTTTAGCGTTACCCTTTATTCTACTTGGTGGTTGATTTTTGGGGTAACGTTTACCAGGTGAAGTCTTGGGATTCTCTTCTACCGTTTTCTTCCCGGAGTCCCTGTGCACAGAGTGTGCTGCTTTCAGCTGCCCGAGTGCCTTTGGTGGTTCTCAGGACTCCTAGTCCCCGGGTGCACCCTTCTGTCAACACAGTGAAGTGCAACTTCTTTAACGATTGCTTCTCCCTGCAGAGTAAAGGATGAATCCCCTGGGTTTCCTTTTTCTTTCAGGACCCTACGTTGCTCTTCTTTGCTTCGCTTGCCCTTCACTACATAGTCTCCTAAGGAGGCCGTTCCACCCTTATCATCCTCCCCGCTGAGACTCTCTGCCGTTTGGGGACTGCCGCCTTGACTGTGTGCCCCTCGGAGCCCCATAGTCAGTGCCCAGCACACTTCAGAGCCTCGCACCCACTGGCTTCCTCTCGCTGTGGCGATTTCAGGAGACCCTCGTGGCTGCCAGGGCACCTCTTTTCCTGACTGCCCTTGCCCTCCACCAAGGCTCAGGAGGCACGGGAAGGGAGCTTGCTGGAATCCGGCTGTGTGTTTTTGCTTACTGGTACCTTGAATTTCACGCTTTCCCACCCCTGTTGTCCTGGGAGAATGGGTTCTCTGAGGTTCTAAACGGCTCCTGGGCTCCTGGTGACTTGTGGGCGGTCTGCATTCCAGCTGCCTAGAAGCGTTCAGCTTCCGTGTGATAATGTCCTTACTCATTTTTTGAAGTTAAAAATCTTTTCTTTCAGTGAAATGGTGGTGATTGCAGATGGCAGCAGTGGGTTTTTCATTTCCTAACTTTGCAGAATTAAAATTTGGTGGCCCTGTTTTGGTCCCCAAAATATTTTGGAAGTACATTATTTCATACAGTTCCTAAGGCTGGGAAGTAAGTAGTTGCATAGGCATGAAAGGGCCATGTCAGTGATGAAGGTGTGGAGCCATCAGTGGGTTCTGTAGGTGGTCGTTGGGGCTACGCCCCGTATGGAATTGTTGCTGTATGGCCGGGAAACGTGAGGAGAGTGCAGACCCACAGCCTGACTGAGGAAGCTGGACCTGTGAGGGCAGGGGGAGGGCAGCTGGAGAGACGGGCCCCCAGGAGAGACGGTGACCCCAGGAGGGCAGGGCCCCGGGAGAGATGGGGACCCAGGAGGACCGCATCTCAGGAAAGATAAGGACCCAGGAGGACAGTGCTCCGGGAGAGATGGGGACCCAGGAGGACGGCACCTCAGGAAAGATAAGGACCCAGGAGGACAGTGCTCCAGGAAGGATGGGGACCTGGGAGAGATGGGGGAGGAGGGGTGCTTGTTTCAGGGGATTGAGCCACACTGTCAACTGCTGTTGCTCTCTAGTAAAAAGACTAAAAAACTGGGTTTGCATCCGGGGGGTCATTGGCGACTCCAGGAGGGCAGTGTCAGTGGCTGGTTGCAAGTGAAACCAGGAGCAGAGAGCAGCTATAGACTGTTGTTTCCGGAATGTTCATGACAGGAATGAAGGGCCGCCAGAGGAAGGCTTACTGTGCCTGGCGCGGTGCTGAGCGCTCTCTGTAGGTCCGTGAGGTCCTTGCCTCTGACCCCAGGTGGTGGACAGTGATGGGGTGTACCAGACCCTAACGCCCATTGTGACCACTCTGGCTCCTGAATGGAACGCAGAGCTTGGGGAGGATTTGTTCTTGCTTGCCCTCCTCCCACACCCCTCTTTCCCGCCACATGAGAGAGGCGCATACGTGTGAGCGCCTGTGGAGAGCAGTGTTGAACTTGCAGGACTGAGGGAGGTCGGTCCTGGAGGGGCAGGAGGAGGGACCTGGCCTTCAGGAAGATTTGGGGGCTTCTTTTATTGAGGATGACAGGAAAGTGTAAGACTGGGTGAGAACCAGGTGTGTTTCTCAGGCTTTTCCTCTCCTGTGAGGTTGAGGCGTGAGGCCGCCCAACTGAGGGATGGAGCAGGTCAGAGGCTGTGGTGGCTGTTATGGGGGTGGGGCAGGTTAGAGCCCTGCAGAGCACCCAGCAGGCAGTGGGGGGGCACTGAGGAGCGGAAGAGAGCCCACTAGGCAGTGGGGGAGTCCACCGAGCAGTGTGGGGCAGGTGAGGGGGCCACTGAAGAGCAGAGCGCCCCCAGGCAGTGGAGGCCCTCGGTCCGTCCCCCCCCCCCGCAAGGAGCAGAGTGCCCCCAGGCAGTGGGGGGCACCGAAGAGCGGAAGAGAGCCCACTAGGCAGTGGGGGAGCCCACCGAGCAGTGTGGGGCAGGTGAGGGGGCCACCGAAGAGCAGAGCGCCCCCAGGCAGTGGAGGCCTGCGGCCCCTTTCCACCAAGGAGCAGAGCGCCCCCAGGCAGTGGAGGCCCACGCCCCCAGGCAGTGGGGGGTGCCGAGGATGGGGCAGGAACGTGTGTCAAGGCGTGGTCGTGTGATACCGCTTCCCAGAGTCACGCTGAGCTGGGCTGAGCTAGGGGGCCCCAGCGTCGGCAGGGCAGAGGGGCTGCAGACACTGCTCGGCTGCTTCAGTCTCCCGAAGGCGTGTGTCCTCCTTTTCAGGCTGGATCGTCAGACGCAGGCCACTACTCTGGTCCACCAGATTTTTGGCGGATATCTCAGATCCCGTGGTAAGTGAGGCATCGCCTCTGTCCCTTCTTGGCAAGATCTGAAACGTGACCGGGAATTCTAAGAACGCAAGTCCAGGCTGGGACGCTCTCTAGCGGTGTGGACTTGGCTACATCACAAAGTCCTGAGCCTGCATTCCTAGTCCTTTGCCTGATGGTCATACTGTCCACCTGGGAAAGTGTGGGGAGTAGCATGGGGCCGCGTGACGTTAGTGGCGGTGTTTTCCCTTCACCTCTCCCTCGGTTTGTGCCGTTGGTGTCCACACCGAGGCGGGGAGATCCTGCAAGGGGAGAAGGAGGCCGCTCTGGTGGGGGCAGTGCCAGGTCTGCCCGGTGTCTCGGGGTGAACTCTGGCTGGGAATGAGGCCTCCTCCACAGATACTGTGATTCTGGGGCTGGGTGTATCACAGTGTCTGGCCAAAGCCCCGTGGAGAGCAGACTGCCCGGTCCACATGCCCTCACTGCCTCTCGTTCTGTTCTAGTGAAATGTTCCGTGTGCAAGAGCGTCTCGGACACCTACGACCCCTACCTGGACATCGCTCTGGAGATCCGGGTATGGCTGAGCGCCGGCAGGGCACGTTTGCGTCAGGAAAGCGAGGCCAGGGAAGAGGGGGAGAGTGATGGGAGAGACAGATATTGGCCATTAATCTATCTAGATGAAGTTATGGGTAGATCTCCACTCATCTAATACAGACCCAGTAAAAGCATATTATCAAAATAGATGGAAAAAAAACTTGAGACTCCTGCTGCCTTTAAGTAGAAACTATCACTTTCGCAGATTTCTTTTTAGCTTTTTTCCTCTGAGTCTTCTTTTTGTTTAAAAAAAAAAAAACGGAAAATGCCGTTTTGTCCCGAGACGTGAATATTGCTCACAGTCCTTGCAGGGTGTGGGGGGCCTGTTGTGCACTGTGGCAGTCTACACGCAGAATTTTGGGGCACGGCACCGTTGGGGAGCAGCCTTCCTTTTGTGATGGCTCTGGAGCTGGCTGTAACCTGGTGACTGTGGCCGGTGGTCAGCCCCCGGGGTGGTGGTTCTTTGTCAGTAGAGAGGGGCTTCGCAGCCGCTGACCCTGTCCCTTTGCCATGGGTGGGTCTCAGTAGGTAGCATCTAGCAGGCACATTTTTGTCCACGTGAAGTTTTGTGATTTGCTGCCTCAGCCTGGAAGAGACCTTAAATTTGGCATTTCTGGAGTCAGCGTTTTTCTTCTGCTGTTTATTCACCTCTCTCTTTTTGTCCTTCTCAGCAAGCTGCCAACATCGTACGAGCCCTGGAGCTCTTTGTGAAACCAGACATCCTGAGCGGGGAGAACGCCTATATGTGCGCCAAGTGAGTTTCATTTTGCTCGGGGCAAGAAGGTCACGCCGTCCAGAAAGATACAGAACAAGTCACTGACCCGACCCCACTGGCCTTTCGGGGGGGCCACTGTTCACCTCTCCTGAGCTACACGTGTGTGCCTTCAAAATAAAACCTCTGAGCCACGCGGATGAAATGACAGCCCCGGCGTTTATAGCTGGGATTTGCGCAGCACCTCCCAGTGCCAGGCCCTGCTCTGAATGTGTTTCGGGCATTGTCCTGGGACGCAGGGGCTGGTCGTGTTCCCATCTCACAGGACGAGGAAACCAGGGCACACAGGCACCTGCTCCGGAGCCCGTGCTCCTGGCCGCTCTGCTCACTGCTTTCATGTGACACACGTGTTCTGCCGCTGACACGTTTACTGAATTGTCTTGGGCGTTTTTCCATTTCAGCAGATGTGAGAGTTACCGCTTACTTTTAACAACTGCAGTCTTACTGTGGTATCCCTGGGTGGTGCAAACGGTGAACTTGCTCAGCTGCTAACTGAAAGGCTGGTGGTTTGAGTGCCCCCAGAGGTGCCTCAGAGTAAAGGCCTGGCAATCTACTTCTGAAAAATCAGCCACCGAAAACCCTACGGAGCACAGTTCTACTCTGACATACTTGGGGCTGCCGTGAGTCAGACTCGTATAGCTGTCCTACGCTATGTATCCAGGCCGTTTTACAGTTGTAATCACTAAAGCATTTGCTCTTAATTCTGCTTTTCAGGTTTGTCTTTCTTACAGCCCAAACACTGCTCTGTGTCCCTCTTCAAATTGATTTCATTCACCTGAAGCCATTCACTTGTGCTTCTGCTTCCCCCTTCGTTACTTGTCTTCTAGCTGTGCTTGCATTTATTTCCTGCTTGTCCATTTGATCACCTGCTTTTACTTGTTTAACTTGTTCTCTTTTGGAAGTGGGACCCCAAGGCCACCTCGTCGTGCGTTCTGTTTAGTCTCCTGGCTGGGAAATGCTCTTATTTCTGCGTGAGCGTCTCCAGCTTCTCTCTGGTCTTTGTGTCTCTGTGGTGGCTCCTTTAGGAGGTAGTGGTGGTAGTCTGGGGATCAGACCAAAAAGCCACTGCCAGTACGTCGATCCTGACTCAGAGAGACCCCGTAGTAGAGTGGACCTGCCCCGTAGGCTTCCCAAGGCTGCAGTCTTTACAGAAGCAGACTGCCACATCTTTCTCTCGCGGAGCAGCTGGTGGGCTCGAACTGCTGACCTTTCAGTTTGCAGCTGAGCGCTTCAACTACTGCGCCACGAAGGCTCCTTCAGGGGCGCAGACCACAGAGTTATTCGTGGAGACCCTGTCATCATAGAGCTGTCGTGAATAGCCTTAATCTGGCACAAGGATAGCTTTGCTCAGAGCAGAGGCTCATGCAGTTTTTTTATTGGGTTTTTTTTTTTTTTTTTAATCTTTTATTGTGTTTTCAGTGAAAGTGTACACAGCCAGTTAGGGTCCCGTTTGACAATTTCTGTTAAACAGATTGTTCAGCAACATTTGTTACATTTTCCACAATGTGTCAACGTTCTCCTTAATTACCTTCTGGTTGTTTCATTTCCAGTGCTCTAGTCTCCCTGCCCCCTGTCTTCTTGTCTCTCTGTTAGGGTTAGGGTTAGGGTTAGGGGCAGGGGCAGTTGCTGAGCTCACACAGTTCTCGTTCACTGTCCTCACAGATGCAAGAAGAAGGTTCCAGCCAGCAAGCGCTTCTCCATCCACAGAGCGTCCAGTGTCCTGACCCTTTCCCTCAAGCGCTTTGCCAACTTCAGCGGGGGTAAGATCACCAAGGTGAGTGCTCCAGCCACCTCCCAGTGGCTCAGCGGCCACCGCTACCATCACAGTCACCTGGTGCTTTTTAAAATACAGAGTCAGGCTCGACTCCAGAGCCAATGAATTAGAAATTCTGAAGGGCAGGGCCCAGGAGGAGCCCTGGTGGCATAGTGGTTAAGAGCTTGGCTGCTAATCAAAAGGTCAGCAGTTTGAATCCACCAGCTGCTCCTTGGAAACTCTGTGGGGCAGTTCTACTCTGTCCTACAGGGTTGCTGTGAGTCGGAACCGACTCAACAGCAATGGATTTGGTTTTTAAAGGCCCAGGAATCTGCCTTTCTTCGAGGGCAGGGTCCCTAAATGATCGATACGCACAGTCAAGCTGGAGACCAGCGTCGTGTGGGTCTGTGTTTTCCTCGTTTCATTCTTCCTGCTGTGGAAGGTCACGGCTTCCTTACAAACAGCTGTGGTGGACACTGGACACCAGCTCTTCACCCACCATGGCATCTCTTACCCAAAACAGGTGCACCTGCACGTGTGGCTTTTTGTGGGAGATGGAGTACACGTCTGCTTTCTGTCCGAGGGCATCTTAGCAGACGATGCCTGTCTCTCTCCAAAGTCCAGAGCTGTCTTCATAGTTGTTAGGGCCCAGCTGTGTGGTTGGGGCGGGGCATTTCTCCGAGCCTCAGAGTCCTGGCCTTGTTTAGATCAGTGCTTCCCAGGCTGGTGTTCTATAGAGTGTTCATATGTTATACTTTGAAAAAACATGTTCCGTGCCCAGCTAATTGGGAAATGCCAAGCTGAAGTTTTTATTTTTTTAACTGCAGAGCTTCTCAGAGTCTTTATTAGTCATTTTACATTTTGAATCTCTTAAGAGGGGGATTTGATATGAAGAATTTTCTAAACTTAATTGTCTGGGGAATCATTCATTCATCATTTTACTACTATTTATCGAGTGCTTCATGGTCTCATCACTGTGCCAGGTGCTGGGGCCATCCGTGAATGAGAGCGGTATGGCTTTACCCTGAAGGAGCTTATGTCTCACTTGTAACATTTGGGACTGGTGTTCCAGCGAAACAGAGTTTGAGAAGCACTGGTCTGTGTGACTTTGGAGGTTGGATCAGGACTCTGGAGGTTGTTATGTATATTGGCTTTTGAGATTTTTATTTTGTCCATAGAAGGAAAAGGCATGTAGGTAAATCTCACAGATGTTATGTCGATCTAAAGAAGCCAGACACAAAAAAACTATATACTGTATGATTCAGTACGTGAAATCCAAGAACAGGCCAGACCAATTCAAGAAGTCAGAACAGTGGTTATTCAAGATGGAGCAGTGGCTGGAGGGGGACGTGGGAGCTGTGTGGGTTGGTGGAAGTGTTCTCTATCTCGGACGGGAGGAAGTTGCCATCGGTATGTGCACTTGACATCGAACACACACTACGGTCTGTGTCTCACTCACGTCAGCCGCTCCTCAGTAGACAAAGCCTTTGTGTGTGTGTAGGCGTGTGATACCCTATCACTCCAAGATCATTTTAAAAAATGTCTTTTCCCATCAAGAAGAGTCAACTTCTGTTATAAGTTTTGGAATGACCTTTGCTCTGACCCAATCCTCTAAAAATTAAACTTGCTGTAGCAGTTCGTTATGTGGAGTGAGCACATTTTTCACAAAGCCCCAAAGCCAGCCTTCTCTCCCTGCCCTCCTCCCCGTGCCTCTGTAGGGGTGGCAGGCAGGAAGTGAGTTCTTCTCGTTTTGCGGTTGGGAGCCAGGTAATGAGAGAACTAACTTAGATGCCTGGCCAAGCCGAGAAAAGACCATAAATCACTCGCTGCATTGAAATAAAGTTTCCCGAAGGTCAGTTGGAACAGACCCACTTCTCCGCTTCTTTAACCATTAACCCAGCGAGCCTCCCCTGCAGCCCTGCTGCAGGACCGATCACCCCAAACTGAAAGACCAGCTGGATCAGGCCTTTTGTGGATGGATAGGGCAGTGTGACCCTTACAGTGATGGCTTATACTTGTCTTTCCCTTGGCTTTTCAAACAGGATGTAGGCTATCCAGAGTTCCTGAACATCCGCCCATACATGTCCCAGAGCAATGGCGAGCCGGTCATGTACGGGCTCTATGCCGTCCTGGTCCACTCGGGCTACAGCTGCCACGCAGGGCACTACTACTGCTACGTGAAGGTCAGTCACGTGTGACGGCAGCGGGTATGCCGCCTTCTGGGGCCGAGGATGCGGCCGCCGTACAAGGGGGCAGCACGTTTATTTAGGAAGATGACGGTGTTCCATAGTTGAGTTCTACTCTGTCCTGTAGGGTCGCTATGAGTGAGAGTCAGCTTGATGGCATGGGTTTGTTTTGACAGTTCCATGGTGTAATGGTGAGCACCCTGGACTCTGAATCCAGCGATCCAAGTTCAAATCTCAGTGGGACCTTAGTGCTTAATTCAAATTAAGAATCTTTCAGAAACCCTGGTGGTGTAGTGATTAAGTGCTACAACTGCTAACCAAAAGGTTGGCAGTTCGAATCCACCAGGCACTCCTTGGAAACTCTGTGGGGCAATTCTATGAGTTGGAATCGACTCGATGGCAGTGGATTTTTTTTTTTGTTTAGACATTCTGATGTGAAATCATTGCTAGCTCATTAGCACTTAGAGATATGTGGCAAGTAACAGTAGATTTTTAAGGATTATGGAACACTTGTTGACCCTTTTGTTTCCTGTAACACCGTGTTCTTCAGGCGAGCAACGGACAGTGGTACCAGATGAATGACTCCCTGGTGCACTTGAGCAACGTCAAGGTGGTTCTGAACCAGCAGGCCTACGTGCTCTTCTACCTGCGGTAATGAACTTACTCCCCCCAGTGAACATGTTCCGTGTGATGTTCTTTTCTTGCACTGTCAGGTCTCCTACCCTTTTCCTATCTGAAAGTGATTGGGAATTCCACAGGAGGGGAAATGCTTTTGTAGATAGTCCCCCACCAGCCACTCTAATGGAGAGCATCCATTGGAAGGAGCCTTTTTAGACCAAATGTACTCGACCGTTGAGGGAAAGCCGGAGCCCCAGGAGGTCAGGAGAGGATTCCATTGCCCCAGCCTTTGAGGCTACTTTGAGTGTGAATGGCACCATCTCTTCGTATTCTGCACTGTTGCCCGCATTAGCTGTGTTGCCTCCAGATGGTGGCCAGCCCATCTGCCTTCCTCCGGGGGAAATGACTGCTGTGGGCCGTGAGCTGAGGTTGTTCGAGGGCAAAAAGCCTGCCCTGGGCTCGATCAGCAGGTGGCTTTTCTTGGGGCGAGTGTGCTTATCACTGCCTTGGAGACGGGGAGGCATTTTTTGCTGTTTAATTCGTTTCTACTGAATTTTGCTGAGGTATTTAGAGGTCCTTTTTGCTCTCCGATAAATTGAGAATCTAATCTGCGAAAACCTCGCACTCTGACACGCTCTGCACTTCTGTTGAACCAGATTTCTGAGACTCTGTAACAGCATCACATTGGTTTAAGGGCAAAGATGGAGTCAAGAGAAGCATGCTGGGACAGCCAAGGTTCTCCCGGGCTGTCTTCCTGCCTCTGTCCCTCTTTGTTTTCCTTCTTTAAAATGTAATTGTGACCTTAGCTTGTGAAGAGGACTTAAAGAACCTACTGATGAAGATCAAAGACTGCAGCCTTCAATACGGATTACACTTCAACATAAAATAAAAATCCTCGTAACTGGACCAATAAGCAACATGATAAATGGAGAAAAGATTGAAATTGTGAAGGATTTCATTTTACTAGGAGTCACAGTCAACACCCACAGAAGCAGCAGTTAAGAAATCAAATGACGTATTTCACTGGGCAAATCTGCTGCAAAAGACTTCTTTAAATTGTTAGAAAGCAAAGATGTCACTTTGAGGACTAAAGTGCGCCTGACACAGGCCATAGTATTTTCAGTCACCTTATGCATATGAAAGCTTGACAATCAGTAAGGAAGACAGAAGAAGAATCAATGCCTTTGAATTATGGTGTTGGTGGAGAATATTCAATATGCCACGGACTGCCAGAAGAATGAATAAATCTGCCTTGGAGAAGTACAGCTGGAATGCTCCTTAGAAGTGAAGATGGCGAGACTACGTCTCACATACTTTGGATGTGTTATCAGGAGGGGCCAATCCCTGGAGAAGGACATCATGCTTGGTAAAGTAGAAGATCAGTAAAAAAGAGGAAGACCCTCAAGAAAATGGACTGACACAGCAGCTGCAACAATGGCTCAAGCATAGCAATGATTGTGAGGATGGCGCAGGACTGGGCCGTGTTTCTTTCTGTTGTACATAGGGTTGCTGTGAGTCAGAATACACTCAGCAGCAACTAACACCACCACCACCACCACCTTAGCTTTAACTTCTCCCACTTCTTTCTCACATTCTGTGTCTGTGTGCCTTTATCTTCAGTGAGGGAGCTCCCTGACTCGTTCCTCTCAGCTTCAGTGAGGGAGCTCCCTGACTCGTTTCTCTCAGCTTCAGTGAGGGAGCTCCCTGAC